GCAACTGGAAACCAAATGTACACAATAGTGTACATCTTCTAATTTTTGGCTTTGGGAAATGCTTTCTTGATTCTTAAGATATTTAGTAGGTTGACTTTACCCTGTAAAGTGAGGGAATGTAAGCTAATAGAAATTGTAAGGCATTGACTTTGTGGGTACACCCTTATGCTAAAATAACAAAGATAGAATTACTGGTAAATGTATAATTCTCAAGAGTTGGTTCTTTTAGGTTTCTGGAGCTGAAAAGGCAGGAAGGTTTAACTCTGGCATAATGTTTCTGAAATAATTTCTTCGTAAATGAATTTTTAATATCTGTTCAGAAATTCAGGCTGGAAGGCATCGTCTGACAACTTATGCTGGATAGGAGCTCTTGGAGTCCTATGATGTACATTCCCTATTATGTGTGTGCTCTGCCAGCTTGGTTGTGGATCTTGTTCCTTCATTATCTCATTTGCAGAAATGTACTATCTTCTGCTTAGAACAGAAGGGAGGAGGAAAGTCTATGAAAAAGGACAATTTTGTCCGTATAGTTAGATACATTCTTGTCCAGTTCCCACTTTGAGTGTTGTTAGCTCATCTAGCTTCTTGTGGCAGAGATACTGATTGTGGTCAGATGCCAGAAATAACAGAATACAGTATTACTATTTAATTTCTCTTTTGCTTGCCACAAAACTTAACTGATTTTTGACACAAAATTGTTTTATCCGTTAAAATACTGAGTTAAAATATATGTAATGATCAGTTAATTTGAAAATGCTTTGGGAACAGCAGTTTTTCCTTACTCAAGTCCATCTGCCTCTTTGTTGTGCCAAACAACATATTTTAAAACCTAGCAAAAAAGGAATAAAACTCCAGTCCTATTGATGTGATGCTACATAATGATATCAGCTTAAAGGAAGCATATCCTAGCCATCTTGATAATTATCTATGCCCCCTTAGGCCTTTATAGTGTCTTAACATGCTGTATGCAACTGATGTTTATGGCTTGTGGGGAAAAAGACACAACTTGTTTCATCTCACTTCTGTTACACTAAGTTCAAGCTTTCAGGGTTTCTCCATTAGTTGTCCATAACTACAGAAACATGGGATTTTATAAAGGAGCCATATGGTTGATATTGCTGTTTATCAGGTTTTAACTCATCCAAAAAGTCTGTTGCGAACAGAGCATTGAGGCAACCTGTAATTTGACACGGAGACCCAGCTAGTTTGAAAGAAAGGGGGCAGGAAGAGATCTACTGACAATGACGATGCCAGGTTGACATCAACAATTCCTTTAGGGCAGCATAATATTTATTGCAGCACATCTTGGTACAGTGTTATGAAGCTATAATTTAACTCTCGAGCCAGGTGAGTGGTTGGAAGTTGCTTACTTTTGCATTTGTGTTGCTTGGTTTTTACTGTAGGCAAAACTGAGCCAATTTCTTTTGTGTTGACTTGCTTCTCAGACTTTTGCTTGAGTTATTATACACAGTAAGGTCCACAGTGGCAACTGCTTTTTGAAAAGTTGCCATTTGGAAGAAAGCACAGAGGATTGCCCTGTAGACCTGCACACACATGTATAAAGAGTTACATGCGTATACACCCTACCTCAGGTGGGAACAGAAGCAGCCAAGGGCATTCAGAGACTTTTTGCAAGACAGAATCAGTTTTGTGAAAGTTTTTTTTTTTTTTTAATTTGCAAGCTGAGTTTGTAAATGCTTTCTTAGGTCTGGTATCTGCTCTGAAGTGTTGCAATATGATAATGGATGAGCTAAGTTGCTCACTGCCAAAACCCTGCGAAGTGTGAGTGGTACGCAGCCTAAGGAGAAACGCTGCTCTTTTGAAACTATACCAACTGTAATATTGTAACTAAATCATGGTTTACATCACAAAATCATTGCAGTATCTTTGAAACAAGATGTAAGCTAGGCTCACTGTACAAACAGAGGGAAGATGTGCACAGCACCTGTGAACACATCATGCAAAAGGAAAGTAAGAAGCTGTGGAAATCATGCCTTACCGGGACATTTGTGCTGCATGATCACAGTCTCTTTGTCTCCTATCAGTCTCGTAACTGAGCCTTTTAAAAACATACTCTGCGCTCCCAGCTGCTGTTCTCTCACAGCCTTCTGTGGTACCTGAGCTGGAGAGACTGTGCTGTGATAGAAACCTGCTCTCCTTGTCTCCTCAACAGCTCTTACACAGGGTGTCAGAAAGCAACAAAGAATTTTGGTTTGGTGATGTGGTAAGCTTGCATCATCTTAAAGCTTCTCAAATGGAAATGGTGGCCATGCAGTTCAGTGAACTGATCGGGAGTAAATTTATACCATGTGTGGAACTTTATAAAAAAAAAAACCAACCAAACAAACAAAAAACACTAACTTTTATACAGGTAAAGCTTGTATGCCGGATATCATCAGTCAGTGTCAGTATGTCTCCATCTGTCCTCCCACAGCCAGTAAAACATGGGTGCACATTCTGGCTCATTTCATGGAAATATGGGCATAATTGATACAGATCAAATTTTTTGCTACTGAAAGATTAATTCATACACAGTTTATGCTAGTGATTATGTGAATGCAGCTTCATAAATGAATTAAAGAAGTTTCTGACAGCCTGTGTGACCTAAGATCACAGTATCACAGTACGCTAGAGATTGGAAGGGACCTCAAAAGATCATCTAGTCCAATCCCCCTGATAGAGCAGGAACACCTAGATAAGGTTACACAGGAACTTGTCCAGGCAGGTTTTGAATGTCTCCAGAGAAGGAGACTCCACAACCTCCCTGGGCAGCCTGTTCCAGTGTTCCGTCACCCTCACTGAGAAGAAGTTTCTTCTCAAGTTTAAGTGGAACCTCTTGTGTTCCAGTTTGTACCCATTGCCCCTTGTCCTATCATTGTTTGCCACTGAGAAGAGCCTGGCTCCATCCTCGTGACACTCCCCCTTTATATATTTATATACACTAATAAGGTCACCCCTCAATCTCCTCTTCTCCAAACTATAGAGACCCAGCTCCCTCAGTCTTTCCTCATAAGGGAGATGCTCCCCTCCCTTAATCATCTTAGTTGCCCTGCGCTGGACTCTCTCCAGCAGGTCCCTGTCCTTCTTAAACTGCGGGGCCCAGAACTGGACACAATATTCCAGATGCGGTCTCACCAGGGCAGAGTAGAGGGGAAGGAGGACCTCTCTCGACCTACTAACCACCCCCCTTCTAATACACCCCAGGATGCCATTGGCCTTCTTGGCCACAAGGGCACAGTGTTGGCTCATGGTCATCCTGTCGTCCACTAGGACCCCCAGGTCCCTCTCTCCTACACTGCTCTCTAACAGGTGGTTCCCCAACCTATACTGGAACCTGGGGTTGTTCCTGCCCAGATGCAGGACTCTACACTTTCCCTTGTTATATTTCATCAAGTTACTCCCTGCCCAACTCTCCAGCCTGTCCAGGTCTCGCTGGATGGCAGCACAGCCTTCTGGTGTGTCGGCCACCCCTCCCAGTTTAGTGTTATCAACAAACTTGCTGATAGTACACTCAACTCCCTCATCTAAATCATTGATGAATATATTAAATAATACTGGTCCCAGTACTGACCCTTGAGGTACTCCACTAGATGGAGAGTTTTAAAACATCGGGAAGTTTTGTGAGAGTTTTGGGGATGGGTTTATTGTGTCACATTGTAAGTTTTGTGTAAATTCGGAGTATTCTTTGCAGCTTGTACAGGTTTAGTTCAGCTTTATTGGTCCTGAAAGCAACTGGACCAATAAAGTCTTACTTGCTGAGACTTAGCCAAGTGTGTTTGGGAAAGTGCTGATAAACCTTACTATTTTAAACTTGGCTGTCTTTCTCTGCTGTTCTTCAAACACAGTGTTGCTCTTTCTTCTGCATAAATGGTTTTGTCTTGCTTCCCCATCTCATTTTGGTCCTGGCTGCTGAAAAGGTGGTAATGCTTCTTAATTTCTCATCATGTGGCTCATTCATGAGCTTTTTTTTTTTTCTCACATGAAAAGTTTAGTCATTTATGTTCCCTAGTTAAGCACTTTTAGACAGCTCAGTGGCCAACACCCTGTGCACCCTGAAAAGGCATTATTCTGCCTGCTAGACTACAGTGTCTGTTTTGGTGGGGCAGTTAAGGAGTTAAAAGCTGATGGACTTGCAAAGAAATGGTGGACAGCTGCTGTAAAATATCTTTACAATCCTAGCTGACCTCATTCTTGTCAGACAAGTGATAATATCCAAAAATGGGTGCAAGACAGGAAGTGTTGCGGGAAGGCATGTGTTTCAGGCAGACATCAGAAATGTGCTCTCTCTTAGGGCCACTTACTGTAAGTTCTATGTTAATTTAAATGGAACAGTGAAATTACAGAATGTATTTACAGAAACATTATTTTAGTCAAAAAAAACTCATTGCTTGTTGCTCTAGTCTGCAGATGGCAAAAGCAGATGAGTTAACTACTGTATGTATTTAATATAACATCGCTGGCTATATGAATGTACTTTTTAAACATCTGGAGGATTCACGTATTTTTTCAATAGTTTTGGTTACTATTTCTAAGGGGGAGCTTTGACTAGAAAACGTACAGGAGAAATACAAATACATTTTCACATTTACTTTACATGAAAAGGCTTATTTGGGATCTAACAAGCTTTTGATAAATTTTATCAACTAAGACAGTTCCTTAGTAAGCAGAACTAAATCAGTTCCTCTCTCCACCCACTTCTATGACTTAGAATTTAAAAGAATTGGATGAATGAAGCAGTGGCAACTACATGTAGAAAGTATGAGAAAGTCTTCCAGAGTTTGGCCAAGAAAGTAGGAATGGCTTGGTTTTTTAAAAGATTTAACATTTTCTACTAGTGAGTCTACCAAGTTAGCTGCAGAAAGTGCCCTATACTGACCTAAGCAGGTTCCTGTTGTTTTCATCCTATAGAGAAATTCGTGCATGAGAAATGAACTTACATATTTTTTATATATTTTTCAGTAGTACCTACTTAAAAACATGCATATAAAAATGATTCCTACCAGTTCAGAGCTCTTCTGCTGATATTAGGGAAGTCCTCCCTAAATTTCTTCTTAGTTGTGTCCAGAATTGTCTCTCTTGTAGTATGAACCTGCAGTAAAATTCAGAAGTAGGTGATGATTATTTTTTTTTTAACAAGCATAAGTGACTATTGCTTGAAAGATTTCTTTTTACTTCAGAGGTCCTTATTTCAGCATTAACTTAATAAAATTATATATAATAATTTATTAAGAGTACATTGATACATTTGTATAAAATAATGTATTAAGGATTAGACTACATCCAGTAACGTTTCTACCATTTGATCACTTTTCCCATCAGCTGTTGTAGTAAGATAACAAATGCCATAATGGTTGTAATAATACCTCTGAACAGAAGAAGCATTTTGATTTTCTAAAACTACAAATGACCTGTGTTTTCACTTACATTTTATGGTTTTTCACTTTTTAACATTACACGTGCAAGATTTTAGATCTGTAGTGTCTTTCTGATGTAAGCTTCTATGTTTTTGATGGTGAAGCATGGAATTTAGTCTTTAAAGTCAAAAAGGGCTAACCTTTTGCAAAACTATCTGCAATTACTGTAGAGTTCCTGATGAAGTCACAGGAGAGAGCACCAGTACCCTGTTTTACTAATTGCTGGTTGAAACAATTTCTCTGTATTAGAAAAGTTTCTGTGAATGGCTGTGTAAATATTCACTGTACAAAATCAGCTAACATTGTAAGATATGGGGAAAAAATGTTGATCCATCAGTTAGTCTCCTTGACTTTTCAAGGTAGTCTATCACAATTAACTTGTAACAATGCAGTGTGTTACTTTCTTTTTCTTCAAAGTGTACTGAGTTAGTTTTGACTAATAATAAGATGTATATAAGGAAATTCTGTGGTTTTGCATAAAAAAAGAAAAAATGTTTTACTGTTTTTTATTAAAGCACAATTAAATGCTTTATGGTCTTTTTTTGTCTTTCGTCAGGGCATGGGCTATTAAAACAATACTAGATGTGAATTGGTACACTTGTTAAGACCAGTGACTTGTCCAGTACACTAAATCCCCAAGGAAACAATGGCAGCATCTTTGAGTTTTCTTGATAAAATTAAGCCCTCCAAACAGGAAGAAAGGAAACATTTTTTTACATAGGTTTCAGAAATATTTAAGTAATACTAAGACAACATAATGTGTCTTGACACACTGTCATAGTATTTTATTTGAGAACCAAACAGCTCTTTACTATTTTGTGTCACTCTGAGTAATGGTTTGCAGCAAGTTTAATTTTTGGCTTATTGTTACTTTTCTGGCAACTCTAGCAAGGTCTGTTCCATGTCCCACTCCTGTCCAAAATGTGGTGGGTTTCTGTTCAGTTCATAATTCTTGCCAGATCTGTGATTGTCCCTTCTTGATCTCAGTGCGTTCTGGTCTTTTCCCTTCTTTAGGTACCCAGCTGATGCACTCTCATAGACATTTGCCTCCCCATCAAATATGGAGAGGAATTTGGCACCTGATTTGGTAACCTGGAAGAAAGTGAAATCTTACTGTTTTGACTGTCTCATTCGAAGTTCATTCCATGGTACACGTGGAACATCAAGGAAGACAATGTCCTACTGCTTTGAAAGTTCTGTTTGAAAACCTGTGGATTTGTTAGTGGAAAGAGTAACACTTACTGTTTTGTGAGTTTTGTTTGGTTTGTTTGTTTGTTGTTTGTTTTTATTTGGTTTTGGTTTGGTGGGTTTTTTTTGTTGTTTGTTTGTTTTTGTATTAAGTCATTGTAACTAAGGAATTGAGATTTTTGTCGAATTAATGTTTTGTGTTACTGAGCTTTTTAATGTGGATAATTGAGAAAAGGCCTGGCATGGATGGGTGGAAGGTGTCAATTTTATGAGTAGCTACATGTGAATGTAGATAGAATCAGAATCACAACACGCTGCTATCTCTTGCATACTTGGAATGATACCTACATATGCATTGATAACCTGAGATATTGAAGTGCATCGCATGCATGAAAGTCCTACTTCCTAATAGTGGCAATGGTTGGTAGTGTTCTGAAGAAAAGGCGGTGTTGAAGATGTGGGTAGACATGCCTTCTCTTGAAAGAATGGGATAAAATACCTAAGTCACTCCAGTGTTGTCACCTCTTTCCACCTCTCTCCACGCTTACAGTCTGTTTATGTGCTCTTTTAATAGTGGTTGTACAGACTTCTGGTGACTGCTGTTTTCTTACCGTACGTTTACAGTCACTTTAAGGAAACCATTTGCACTGCACCAGTGGTTAGTAGGTAGGGTTTGTGCTCTACTCCAACTTGCTGACCTTCATTAAGAGGGTACAGCTTGATGCTTCTGCTGTTTCTGCTCTGTTAAGAAGGGATAGGACAAGGGGTAATGGGTTGAAACTTAAACAGGAGAGATTTAAGTTAGACATAAGAAAGAAATTCTTTATTGTGAGGGTGGTGATACACTGGAACAGGTTGCCCAAGGCAGTGGTGAATGCTCCATCCCTGTCAGTGCTCAGGGCCAGGCTGCATGAGGCTGTGAGCAGTTTGGTCTGTGTTTGCAACCTGAGCAACCATTCTGTGATTTTATGATAGTAATGCTTCTCTGCTTTGGTAGAACACCCTTCTGATCGAGAGGTGAAAGACCAGATAGAGACTTCTTTTTAATGGTCCCTAGGAAACCTGAATACAAATTGCACAAAGGCCTGCAATCTCTGAAGGAGACAGGCGATCCAGCTGGGGTTTGATTCTGTATCTGAGTCATTTCAGCCTGGTTTTTGACCCATTAATAAACCCTTGTCTCACTACTGCTATTGCCTTTTGTTATAGTCATTACATTCCTCTGGAACCTCTATAGCTATTGTCTGTTTTGTTCCTTTGTTTTTGTTTTTCTTGATAGATTTAGGTTGGCAGGAGATAGCAAATTCGGTTCCCACCACCAGAAAACGGCGTTTGCATGGGGCATATAACACCTGTGCAAACTGCTGCATGGTCCCTTGGGGGAAGTGCAGATTCCTGGGGGAGGTATTCATCCTGCGTGCTTCCATCCTAGTAGCCTTGCTGTAATAGGTGTGCAGCATAAGTGGGTTGCGTGTATTTCTCCTCCTTGCCTTTCTATAGCTTATGCTGGCAAAGTGCATGTGCATGTTACTTCCAAGTTGTCAGCAAATTTCTGAGGCCCTTTTTAGATGTGAACATGGAAGGAAGCAGTGTCACAGAGCAAGGAGCAGGGAAAGGCTTCTAAGGACCAAATGTGTGTTGTGAGATATTTAAGACTGTAGAAAGCTCTTTTCACCCTTTTGTGTGCGTGAAGAGGCAGACAGAGTCTCATCCCTTGGGACAGATAGATTACGTATCTGAAAGTTTCTGGGAGCTTTGGCTTTCTGCTGAGTGTGCGTGGGCTGTTTGGAACAGACTGATGGCTTTCTTGGAGGGGACAAAGGTCAGTTTAAAATTCTTAGGTGTGCTATGTAATGCAAGCTACTGGCAAGTTTAGAAGATATCCTTGAAGTCTTTCTCAGGAAGGAAGGCCTTCTTTTCAGGAGAAACTTGGAATGCTGTGTGAGAAGGGGAGTATTTGCTAGATATGTCTGAAATGTGTTTGTTTTGAAAGCCACCATTAGATTAAATGTAAACTGTGAACCTGGTTTATACTCCTCAAGGCAGGAGAAGATGGAATCTATCAGAGTGCAGATTTTCCCCAGGGTGCTCATATACACTATAGAATATGCATTAAGTTAGTGGCATTCTCTCTAAATCTTTCCTTTGGTTTCAGAAGGTCTTAAAATTAAAAAAGAGCAAACCAGACACCCCCATTCCTCCCAAAGTAAACCAGAGTTGTGAAACTGACCTTAACACCTTTCCTGAATGAAGCATGAACAGATCAGTCTTGCCAACCTACCGTTATCTGGCAAATGCTGTTTATATACGTAGGGACTCCTCTGAGAGATTTTCTACTATTGCCCACATAGTCTTTAGCTGACCTTTGGAAAACTGATGAGAAAGGGAATAGTCGTATAGCAGATTACTGCCTATTACAAATTTGGTATTACTAGTGGTTTTCTGCATGTGACATTGAGCAACCATGGGCAAAATGTTTTTTTTTTGCTTCTCTCAAGTCAATCCTGGCTTTAGAACAAGAAGCCAGGAAAGGGACATAAGTTGAGAAAACCTTCAAAGCACCTTGGTTTAAATTCTAGTAAGAGACTTAGGGCTATTGTCATGGCACAACCAAGAAACTTTCCAAATCAGTGTCAGAAGATTAATATTGGATTTTCTTTTTTATTTTGCATTACACTAATGTTTTGATATATTGTCTTAACTTTTAGCTGTAAAATTGGTAATATGTTACTTTTAATATTGAGAAAAGGATGCCATGAATAATCAGTAAGAACAAAGCAATTACAACTATTTAAAACAAATTTTTAACTTGGGTAACACATTTAGGTGTCAGTAGCTCATGAGTAGCCACTATAGTGGGTTAAAGATGAAAGAGAAAAGGAAGAGAGAAAATATTTTTTTCTGACTTTGCTTTTCAGTTTCTAGAGCTTTGCTTTATGATGGAAGGTGGACCTGCAACCCTGTGGTTTAAAGTCATGAAGCTAATAAATCAATTTGTCAGTTCACAGGATTGATGCTAAGATAAAATGGCAGGAAAGTGAGGGAAAAGGGAGTGTTCTATGGGAAGGAAACACTAAGATAATAGGCACCCTACTTAGGAAGACTTAGAAACAGATGAAGTAATGATAACCTGAAAAAAACCCATAAGCAGTACCATACTCTTCTCATATGCTTAGAGAGACTTCAGCACATGTTTGCTGTGGATACTCTTCTGAGAACTGCTATTGTGAACTGGCTCGAAGGACTTTTTTTAATGCAACTACTGCTGTTTCCTACATCCCTTGCATGTTTTGGGTGAGACCTTTCTTTGCATGATAATTTCATTCTGCTTTTAAAGTAATCTGCAGGGGGTTTTATTTGTTTCAGAGTGAATGGAAGTGATCTGCCATCCTGTCAAATGACCATTACTTTTTGGAGATGTTTAAGGTGAATTAGCCATATACAGTATTTTAAATTATAGTGACATTTATTACAGTGAGTGCTATCA